TCTCTTGTAATACCTAGGTTCGATAAATAATTTTTTTACTCCGCAATGTCCAGTGAGAAACTCTGTGACAAGTCGGATGCCATTTCTGTTCAGCATTAGAAGGTCTCTAGTTCTGGTTTTTGATCGTTTCGGCATGAATTCTTTAGCTTGTCTGCTAGTAATTACATTCTCCCAATCACCCTGAGCTGCACTTTCTAGCCATTCATTAAACGTCGGTACTAATGACAATAGCGAAATAAGCAACAATTTAGTGCATTAATTTAGTGCTTGTGTTTTAAAAAATTTCTGATAAAACCTTAGAAGTTTTAAGTTTGCGCTTTCTCTCGTATTGGCTAGCTTCAGCGCACTCCGTTATTGTCATCGTTTATTTTCCTGATAGTATTCTAACATTATAATAAAATCTAACTCAATATTTTGATATTAACTTTTTAGCAAGATTATGGTTATGGAATTCTTGTATTATATTGAAATAAGATAACAAATAATTTATAAAATATCAGTCATATATAGGAAAAATAATATATAAATAACGACATTTACTTAAGAAGGAATTTTCCATATATATCTAGTCGCGATAATTTTGTTTCAATATACTTAGGCTAATATACTTATGGGCTAATATACTTATGTATTATATGTATATATGTATTATTTTTATTTTTTTGAGTTGTTATGTCGAAACTATTTAAAGCAGAGTCGTTTTTATTTTTTAAGAACTTTAACTTTAATTTCGAGCGTTATTTTTAGTAACGAATTTGCCGAAATGGAAATATACTAAAACGTATGGAAATATACTAAAACGTATGGAAATATACTAAAAATAACGCACGAAATAAAAATTAAAATTTTTTAAAATATTTGTATAATTAGAAGTGAAGTTTAAATAAATCTAGAGTTTTAGCTAAGGCATTCGTATTGAAGTATAACACTTGAACAATTTAAAAACATATTGAAATTTCAATAAAACCTAAGATACTCCCTAGCCGAAGGTTCTGAAGCTGATGAAGATTCTCTAGACACTAGGTTTATACCATGTTTAATCTATGTAGCGCTTAGCATAGATTCTTTAGTCAATTGAGATGTGTGACATTTCTATTTTTTTTTGTTGAATTTTTCTTTTGCAAGAGGTTGACACATCTGCGTGCAGATGTCTGCATTACGTTGAATTAATCCAATTTTTTTTTGTATTTATTGTTTGTAAATACAATCTATAAAAGAACATTAAGTATTACCTATAGGTATATAATAGAATAAAATTATATGTAGACATGCGTGGAACACACTCAGTAATAAACAAGGCTTCGAACCCCATCCGAACCGAAAAAAAACCGATATTTTTATCGGAGCGAAAACCGGAACTGCATCGATATATATTTTTTGTTTTGAATCGGAACGAAAAAAAAATAATAGAATAAAATTATATGTAGACATGCGTGGGACACACTCAGTAATAAAAAGGGCTTCGAACAGGAAAAAAACGATATTTTCGTTTTATCAAAAACCTGAACCGCACTGATATATATTTTTTTGTTTTGAACCGCAGCGGAAAAAATGCAGGGATTCGAACTGGAACCGAACCAAAAACCGAAAAAAAAACAATATTTTTATCGGAGTGAAAACCGGAACCGAACCGATATATTTTTTGGGTTCTATTTGGCCCATCCGGCGTTTGTTTTTAATTGTTTCATATCCTAAAAGAATTTTTACAATTGCAGTCAAACTTCCATAACTCGAAGTACCATTTTGTAACAAAAAAGTTCGACTTACGGAGACTTCAAGTTAAAAAATTTTTTTGTAATTGTATGTAGTTTGCTATGTTAACCCTGTTGTACTTTACGTAGTACTAGTTATAGAAAATTCGAGTTGTAGAAGTTCGAATTATGGAAGTTTGATTGTATTTGCATGATATTATTGACATGCTTTGATCATTCAGATCAATATCTGCTTCTTGATTACGGCAATATAAATATTGCATAAATTTTATGGTATAAGTACCCAAAAGAGAAATCTCTTAATAGTTATAGTTTAATATTTTTGAAAATTTTTTATAAATTTTTTTTTAATACAAAGTAAAAAAATAGCAAGGAAATTAGTTTATAATTTAATTTTTAGTTCTGTTTATGTTTTGACAAATCTACGTACTGTGGCTACTTGTCTTTATAGTGGACAAAGTATCGCTCACTTCTCCCAATAAGAAAAATCAGGTCAGCGTGAGCTACAGTAATAAAGTTAATTCATTTTTAATTGAATTTAAAAACTTTGTCAATCTCGTAATTAAATATGCTTCAAAATTATTTTGATTTTAATTTTTAATCCGCAGTTTTCATATTAACATAGAAGGAAATGTATTTGTAAGCTATTGATGTTTATTACAGTGCAACCATTAAATAACGAATTATTATCCAAACTTATTACTTATTTTTATAGTAAATATGTTTTTATTACATTCCATCTTAAATCGAGGTTATTTCTAAACTAACTATATAATATTTCTGAATACAAATAGTAAAGAACGAACATCATAAAAAATCACATTAAGAAATTTAATATTTTTGTAAATATTGGTATCGACCTAAATTGTATATATGTATTTGTTTTTTCTGCCGAGCCTTAGGTCATTTTTTTTTATTTTATATTATTTTAAATAATACAAAAAATATGTAAATAAAAATATGTACCATAAACATGAAATAAAAACAAAAGTGACTTTTGTTAAATATATATAAAAGACATAAATATATAAAGTCGTTCTGACGACTTTCTAGAAAGTAAACCGATATATTTATTATTAATAAATATACTATAATTTTTATTTGATTTGTGTTTAGCAAATGAACTTAATGCTTTTGATTACATATTCTTTATATTATTTGTTAAATAAAAAAACGACCTATAGCCCGGTAAAGAAATTGAATATAAACCTTTTTTTTATTGAAATAAGCACCCAATGTAGACACTATTTTCTAAAGAAAACATTCGACGGGTATCTTCCATATTAAAAAGTTTATTCCTTATGTCTCTAGTAATATCTTATTGTAATATCGACATACCTTTTTGTGTTTTTTATTAGTTATGTTTTATGAATGAGTTCGCAGAGAAGTAAAAGAATAGACATATAAATATATAAATAATTTTAAGTGGATTATGGATGTTATTATGCGGTTGGAATACATTTTACAGAAATTCTAAGTATAAGTATTTAAAATATCATCATAAAAAACATGAAATTATTTCTACATAAGTTTGAATACATATTTTAATGTCTATTTTACTATTGACTTAAATTAAATTTTGACGCATTTTACTTAAAGTGTACTTTAAAAGAAATTGTAAGTTCCAAACGTTTGGCGACATACACAAATTCTCACTTGCCTAAAACGGTGGCAATAATGAGTTACAAATAGTTATACGAGTATATTTAAATAAAATTGTCTTTAAATTAATTATTACAGTTTGCTACAGTAAGGAAGATAACCAAAGATAGAGAATTTTTTACAGATCTTTGGAGCGAGCGGATAAACACATCAAAGAATAGACATTTCAGATCACATAATTTTTCAAATATAATTAATTCTAAACGTAATTTATAATATGGTATAATGCAAACATAATGCATAACATAATTTATACAATGCAAATTTTGAAATATGTGAAAAACATTTTTTTCATAATTTTCTTAATTATTTACTATTTCCAACTCAATAAATATAATTTAAGGTCTAGTATGTAGCAATAGCAAACAAAACTCTAACCTGAAAAATACTCATAAACTTGTAGGAAATCAAATCGAGTATTTTTGACATTAAAAATTTTTAATTTACAATTTTTTTCAATAATTAATTGTTATTACGATCAATTTACTTAAGTTTTTTACTTGCACCGGACTTAGATTGTTTATTTAACATATAAAAATGATAAAAAAATTTCAATTAAAAATTTGTGTTAAATATTTTTAATCATTTAAAAAGAAATAATTAAAAACAAAAAATTTTTAAAAAGAAAAAATAACTTTTTAAAAAAAATAATTTTAAAAAAAAACTTCTTAAAAAAAACAAAATAATTTAAAAAAAAATAACTTCTTAAAAAAATAATTTTTTTAAAATAAGTAATTTTTTTAAAAGAAAATATTATTTTTAAATAAATAATTTTTTTAAAAAAAAACAAATTATTTTTAAAAAAAAAAATAATTTTTTAAAGATAAATGATTTTTTAAAAAAAATAAATTTTAAAAGGAAATAATTTTTTAAAAAAAAAATAATGTTTTTAAAGCCGGTATTAATCAAAAACTTTATACAAATGTTTTCTTATTTTCATTCTGTATTTTTAGTGAAGTCAACTAATTCTTTATAAATTTTTATTATTGTATACATATTCTTTCTATTCATATCCGTGATTTTAGGTGTTATTTTGATTTCTTCTTGATTTCATATGTTCATATCAACAATAAAATCAGCACTGTATGCTTGCGTGAATAAAGTGGATGGGTTTACTTCATAATTTGTATGAATTGAGTTTAGTAAGGCAATGCATATACAGTGTGACATTTTCAATGTATACTTTATTTAATAACTTCACTAAAGAATATTAAAAGTTAATCTATACATATATTTTTGGAGAAAATAACCCCAATTCGAAATTCATTGCTACCATCAGACAAAATGGGGATTTTCCTATAAATTTGCTTTCATTTAAATTATGTTTAAAATAGTTATAAGTCTTTGAAGTGAGCCATTCATAATTTTTGTCTTAATAGTTTGTAAAATATTTACTCTAAGAACTTTTACGAATAAATCCTTCTACATACATATATGTTATGTATATGGCAATTTCGGTAAATCTGAATGATTGTGTGTCCGCTTCATCTGTAATGCTCCTCATATGAAATTTTAACGAATTATTAATTCTAACTGTTTGTACACAAATTTAATTTGTTGGTTCGAAAAGAAACCACCATACAAAAAAAATTATGGTTACCTATTTCAATGTTAATGCTTCTAAAATAATTGAAAACTTGAACTACACTCATGAAGCACCCGGTTTTAGTGAAAAAGATAGTTTTGGCCTCGAATTATTTTTTCCTAAAATTACTTTTTGTTCTTCTTTAACGCGTTTCTCTTGTTCTTTCCGCATACGTTGACGTTCTTCATCCATTAAACGTTGCTCTTCAATTATGGCCAATCTCTCTTCAGCCTAGAAATAATCAAATATATATATATATATATATAAATACCATTTTACATTCTATTATTAAAATATTTACCAATTTTCTTTGAGCTTCCTCGATTTTACGATTATTTTCCGCAACAATTTCTTCCAACTCTTCTCTCTTCTTTTTTTCTTCCTCCTAGAAAAATATTTACAATTAGAAAGAGAACAAAAAATAAAGTTTGCCTGAATTCGCCAAAAATTTCAATAACTTTTCATACAAATTGATATAGTGTTAATATAATAAATTTATTTTTAGTTACATTAAAGGAGATAACATTTTTGGGTATAATTTTAGACCAAAAATTACTATGGAAATCTCACATCTAAGAAGTAACAAAAAAGGCAACCAAAGCCTTTATGACATGTAAATCCATCGCAGGTAAGAATTGGGGATGTGCACTGTCACTGCGATGGATATACACAGCAATAATCAGACCTATGGTCACTTACGGATCAATAGTCTGGCAAAACTGCACAAAACAGCAAAGCGTTATCAACACACTCAACAGGTGCAGCGTCTTGCATGTGTAAGCATAACAGGAGCAATGAGAACATGTCCCACGGCATCAATTAAAAGACTCCTGGAACTCACACCCCTTCACATCCATGTGCAATCACAGGCGAAGAGGGCTGCTCTTAGAGTAATTACAAGCAGGATGACTGGTCTTGAAACCAACAGTAAAAAATCTGATACTCTGTCTGCACAAATCTCAGAAACAGAAATGCCAACGGACAGGATGATGGTAAAGTACAATTTTACAAAAAACTTTAAAACTAAACTTGGCAACAAAAAGAATTGGGAAGGCTTGTTCAAAACCCAAATAATAAAAGAAAACATGATTACATACAGATACAGATACCAGTAGGGGCTGGTGTTTATGGACCAGGCAAGAGATACTGGAAAGCACTAGGAAATAATGGAACTATCTTTCAAGCGGAGATATACGCGATAGATAGATGCGCCAGTTTCAACCTTGAACGTAACTACTGGAATCGTAAAATTGCAATACTGACTGACAGCCAGGCAGCTATAATGGCACTCATATCCTACCAGGTATCATCTAAACTGGTATGAGAGTGCATTGACAAGCTAAACATACTCGGCTGGAACAATCAGGTACATCTAATATGGATTTCGGTACAATCAGGTATCCAAGGTAATGAAATGGTAGCCAAACTTGCCATTCTGTGGTCTAGGCAAAGGAACTCTTTCTATTCTAATGAATGGTGCAGAGGAAAAAGAAAGAGAATTCTATTGGGAAACAATACCAGGACTCTCACAATCTAAAATGCTGTTAGGGACTTACAACCTTAAATGCTTCAAAGATTGCATAGCACAATCAAAAAACAACCTAAGAATTATTACGGGATTATTGACCAGTCACTGTAGATTGAATAATCACCTATCGAAGTTAAGAATTCAATCCAACTCAGACTGCAGATACTGTAGCGAAGAGAGAGAAACTGCATACCATATGCTTGAAGAGTGCCCGGCACAGATGCACAAGCGGAAGAAACACCTAGGAGGGTGTTTCATGAATCAAAAAGATTCAAGACTAGGAAAAGTAAGCTCTATACTGTCTTTCATTAAAGAAATCGGACTTGGTAGACACTCTAACCCGAGTAAGGAGCACAATAGATCTTTTAGGTCGCAGTGCACAATCTCTTCTTTTTAATAATAATACATTTTCAAACTCCTTTTTTGGTATCTAGTGTATGGGCGATTTTTGATAGAAGATATTAAATTTTAGTGAATCTTTTATTTTCGATTGGTAGGTTTCGAGTGAAATGTATAACACTCGAAACTGATTTATAACACTCTAGATATTTGGCGAGAGTAGCAAGATTATCCTGACATCAACAGCTGTTTTATATGTTTTGACGAATAAAGTGTGATTTGTTTTGATATATGTATATGTAAAAATATAAACATCAACAAACGCTACTACAAAAAATTGTTTACTCTAAAAATGTTTGATTCATCAACAAACAGATTTAGTGTAAATCTAGATTGAATCTACATTTACTAATCAAAAATGCCAGCGTTCACAAAAACTTCTTAAGTAAAATTCAACACAATTTGCTTTATTATGCCTAACATATTGAACTTGAACTCAGGTTGCTGGCTGCAAACGACTCTCACTGAAGTTCAGCATTATTGAATATATAGTAAGTAATAACTAAAAACTAGTGAATACTACTGAATAAATTTGCTGGATAACACTTTTGACATTTCTAGCTATTATAGTTAGCGACATTAGCTTGAATAAGTTGAAATCAACGATCAATAAGTCATTGATCTGCACTAGCTGCAGATCGTGGGCATACGTTTGGAATTTACGTATTTCTGCATGACAAGTCCCTTAACTTATAACCTACCTTAACTGAGCTAGAACAGTACTTGTTGCATGAAAAGGACGTCGTTTTTCCCTTGATATATGATAAATGCCTGTTAAGAACTTTATTGCTATGCAACTGTGGTCCAGCAGATGTTACTGGATCTATGTGGAAGGGTGTAAGGCCTTAATAGTACGTTGGGAAACAGATTGACGTAATTGACAATAAGATGTTACGCATAAACTTACGCACATCTTAGCAATAATTAACTATGTTCATTAGCGGGTGAATTGCCAACTTACAAACAGATATGATATTATACACATGCTAATTTTAATTTATAGCGTCTGTGATATCTCCTTCATTTTCTCTCCATTACTGAGTAGAATAATTGTGATATTAAGGTCACGATATAATAATATATAAAAGAAGATAAAACATAAACCATAAGTTTAAATTTTTGATAAAAATGTTTAGTTTAATTTTATTAAACAATATATCTAGAACATTAGACAATATAACAGCTATATATAATTCTAAACCGATAAACGACATTTTTAATAACAATAGATACTTCAGTTGATAATACTTGAACGTAAGTTTCGGAGAAAATTCATTTATAAATACCAACTTGGATGTGAATACTTAACTTATTTGACACCTATATCCAGATTTTAACTTTTTGTTTCTATTTCAGTGGTTATGGAAAACATTATTTGTAGTTTCAACATTCAAATTTTGCTAAAATACATATACTCACGAATAACCCAAACCTTCCCAAACAGACATGTGTCAAAATCGCCTATTGATATGTGTTTTACAAACAAATCTGAACATATTCAAAAGGATAATGCATAAATTTCATTTTTTAATTTATATTGCAGTTATAGAATATAGCTCATTCAAGAAGACGATGAGATATATGGGGTTCCACGAACGGTTGGGTCTACAATCCGAAGCCACTCGTCGCCAGCGACGACTATATGCTGTTCAACAACGCCCAAATGGACTTCACAGGTTCCAGCGGGTTACAACAACAACAACCACAACACGAGATATATGGAAGGTTATAATGAGACAATTTATCAGGACTATCGCAATAAAAAATAGCTAATGATTTAAGAATTTTAGATAACTAATTTCCTCAAGCTTGATCCGATCAATAAATACATAAAGGATAGAGCCCTGAAATTATTTACGAAAACTGACAGACTTACCAACACCGCGTTATCGAATCTCAGAATTGTTACAGGTCAATTATTGCATAGTCTGATGAAGAGATAAACAATAACCCAGTCAAGGCGTAGAGAGGGGTTATGAAGAAACCTCGCAGTTATTAGAGTAAAAATGCTCAAGTGCACTGACTCAACTAGCCTCAACATAATAATAAATTCAAAAACCTTTAAAAAATGGGATAAAAATGGAAAAAGGCACTTATTAAAGGGAATCTAAGGGGGCAACGATGATTGTATTTTAACTTTACAAAACTGGAAACTCTGTAATAGTAATTACAGGAAAAGAAATATACAGGTGGACGTATACGGAAAAAAAATTCGATAAAAAAAGTTTAATATCACGATTTATTGAGGAATATCGATGAAGGAAAGCAATTTGAATCCATGAAGGGGGCACAATCGATCTATAGGTTGTATAGCATTGCAAAATATTCAAACATAATAATAATAATAATTAGGATTGCTTTATTTAATATATAAAGGATCGGTTCTAATAAATGTGTGTTAACAGTTTTATTCAAAAACTCATATATTAAAATGTGTCAAAGCAAATATATAGAGAGTTAGTCAAATAAACAGATGGTGATGGCTAAATTAATTAATTTTAACTAAATTCTTAAATTCTTAAATATATATATATATATATATATATATATAACATATACTTTATCAACTTATACTTTATATAAACTTCACTGTAAAAAGCACAATACAGTACGTAGTACTGTAAGAATTCAGTGAAGATATCAATTATATAAGTACAAAATATGTGTTATTTTTTTCAACTGCACAGCACTAATATTCAAAGATTGACAAATAGATTAAATGTTGGCAATATTAAAAACTAATCAAAATCGAAACTAAGATATGGGCGTCTTCACACTAGGCGTAGTACGTTGCTGTTCACAATGAGCGCTTAAAGCTACATTAAAAAATGTCAGTAGTTAAATGCAAGCAATGCATTACACTTACTACATCATAGTAATCTATATATGCATATATAGATATTAAATTTAGTTCAATAGTACATTTTATAGGAGATTCAATTACTTTTTCGTCTATAAAAAAAAAATGCTTGATTAACGACAAAAACGACCTTTTAGTTGAGGGTAAATCAATGTAGGTGTACATTGGATTCGCAAGCTTAACTGTTATTTTAGTGTTTGTGTGCAATTATATAAAAAAATTTTCTGATTCTTTATGACAAAGAAATGTGGAGCTTTTGAAGCACTTGAGACTATTGCAGATCTTTACATCTTTACAAAAAATCAACAAAATTCACAATTCATTTTATTGACAGAAAAATGTCATGATATTGAACACCCAATCACGAGTTTCATGAGCTTAAATAAAACTCCTTAACGGAATATCACTTTATCATAAACGTAGAAAGAACTTTTCGTTTGGACTGCTTAAGAAAGATGTTGATATGATTATTCTAACGAGAACTTGGATGTATAATTCTTGCCCATCTATGTCGTTAAGCATACAGCAAAAAAACATATTAACCACATTAATCCTTTTAATTGAGTTATTTTTAAACAATAACGTTCCTTTATTTATTTTTCTTTTATTTTTTGACTAAACTTTTTTTTGACTAAACGAAATCACTTTTATTGGAACTTTGAAAAACAAACAAGCGCTCATAAATCGCAGCGTTTGTGAATCTTTATTGATGGCGGAGATTCAGGAGCGCTTATTTACAACAGGCTCAGTGTGAACAGACTCTATGTATGGTATGTGTTATTATTGAAATTGATTGTTTTTACATATATAGTTCACATTATTGTGAATAATGCGTGTATTACTTTAGTTTAGGTAAGATGTTCGTAACTCGGTGAAAGAAATGTCAAACACCATGTAAACTATATTACATTTATAATTAATCAGCGCGCCATATAAGATGTTTTGTTTTTGCTCTATCCATTTATCTATCTATGTGTCTGTTTGTAACTCAGCTGTTTGCAGAACATTTTGTGAAGCCAATTACATCAAATCGACAGATGAATGAAATTGATTGACTAATAATATAATGCGTCCATACAAAATAAGTTCATTAAATCTCATCAATATATCTGAAACATAGCTAAAGAAAAAAATATTAGTAAGTGATTATTAAATAATAAATATGCAGTAAAATTGTGTGTGAAGAGTATTGAGATTCGTTAAAGCCAAATTTAAATTTTGTACTCATACATTTGGATTACGAATAATTACGGTAATATTGAATATTCTCTTTAACCCATCGCATGTTACGGAATATTGCCATACAAAATATATAAACTATTCTGCTGCAAATGCTTGAAAAAAATTTGGAAGTGTCTTATATAATAAATAACAAATAAATGAAAAATTTTCGTTTAAGACTCAGACGAATGTTTCTTTTTGTTTTTTTTTACCAGTTTGAAAACGTATAAATGAATTTTAGACTTTAATTTTGTGATTTATATATGCGTCCTGAGGTTCTGTTTAAAAATCAACAACCTATGCATATGTTACAATCTGTTCGACTATGTAATCTGTTTAAAGTCACCCCAGTCCGAAAAACGTGTTTCGAAATATATTAAATTTTATAATAAATTGTTGTTAAAGTACATTATTGCATTATTTGTAATAAACATACCTCACGTTGCCTTTCTTCTTCCCGTATTTGTTCACGTCTTTTCTCTAACTCTATCATCATTTCCCGCTCCATTTGAATTTTTACGGCTTCAACACGGCGTTCCACTTCCTCTTCAATTTCATCACGACGTTTTTCAAGTTCTTCTTCAACTCTTTTTTTTACTAAAAGTTCAATACGCTTTGCAGCTTCTTCCTCAATAATCTTAACGAATAAATGAAATCATATGTCAATCCTTAATGTTCTATTCTATAATATCTGGCATAAGTTATATGAGTTCGACGCAAAATATACCTTCTGTTCCGTTTCTTTTTGCCTTCTGTGGCGCTCCATTTCTGCCAAACGCTCTACTTCATCAAGTTTTTTATAACGACTTCTCTTGTGACTGCGGTGTGTTTCAACATCAGATACAGGGCTCTCACTTGAACTGACTGAGGGAGATGAACGCTTTCTATTTTTTAGAAATATATGTCATTTAAGTTAATATTTACTGCAAATGTTATACCTTGATTTTTTATAGATGTGATCACGATCTCTTTCTCTTCTACTGCTCCCACTTCTATATATATCTATTTCCAATCTATCTTTTTCTCTGTCCTGTGACCGAATATGGTTTCTAGATTTACTTCGTTTCTTGTGCTTATTTTTATGATGTTTTCGCTTTGAGGGGCTTCCAGAGTGTGAACCCATTGTATAAGAACTACAATATATACAAAAAACAAATACATTGTTCAAAGCTTCCAATGATTTATACAAGACAGCTGGTTAATCTATTCATTATTTACTATTTTATTTGAAGTCGATATATTTTAATACAATTTGTATATGCCATCAAAATAATAAGTTATTCATGAAATCAATGAATATTTCCACTTCAACTAAAACCGACTTAACAAAAAGTACTGAACACTGTCATATCTAATCCAATATGGACCATAAACAATATCAAAAAGATACAGGATGGTGACTGCATTCACTCATTTTACTTATACATGTTTGCAATGGATTCTTTTTTATTTTCTTACTTTAATTATGCGCTATTTTTTGCGATGAGATCCCGTAAATTTTAATTTATATATATATGTATATATACACTTTTGTATACATATATACATACATATAACTATATATATACATATATATATATATTTTATTAGAAATTGTTTAAACGTGGGTTTGATTACATATGAAATATAAAAACATTACTGCTTGTCAAGAAACTACTTGAGAAACAAAATGAGATGAAACATTGAATGTTGACAATACACAGAGTTGTATTTAGTTGCGTTATTTTTAGGAACATACAAAGTTGTGGATTACGTTAAAAGTTATACGATGTTGTAGTGAATTACTTAATTATATGTAAGTTACATTTTGCCTTAATACCTCAACTGAACTTATTAAAAGGAATTTAATAGCCCTGTGTATTCATATTTACTTATTTACATATATTAAGTGTATTTTATTAGAAGCTATTTTGAATACGTACATTTTTTTTTTTGAATCCATTTGTTTTATTACAATGTCAGGTATGAATGACAATAATATTATGTTCACACATCCAAATTTCTTTAATTTTGTTAAAACTAAATTAAGTTAATTTCGAAAGTATTCATATTGCCTTAAATTAAGGAAATTATGTGTTTTTTGCTTACAAATCGAATATTATAATTTACATGCTTAAAACACTATTCGTTAAAAGTTAAAAGTTAATTAAAAGTTAATTATTATAACTATAAAAAATTCACTAGTTTTATTAGCTTTAGTGGATTTCAGATATGTAGATTATTATTTTTCACTCTATTTTAAATTAATAGCAGTTACAGTTTCTTTTTATATTCTTATTTAAAAATTTGCACTACTTTCAAATTATTTTCCCGATTTTATTAAAGTCAGCTGTTACCGACATATATTAAAAAATGTCATATTTTTCGTGTTAAATGTCACTAATCTTTTGCTTAAAATTTATCTTTTGTATAATCGCATTTGAAATTTCCCTTAATTTCAGCCTTCGATTCAACGAAATTAAGGACATTTTCTTTAATTTCGTGTTAACCTTAAAACTTTAAGTAATATTTATTACGATCTAAAAAAACGTACATAAAGTATGAAATTGCCTAAGCTTTATATTACACATAATGTAGTGAAAGAAGTTACACAAAATAATGAAATTTGCTAAAATTCTTCATCAATATTCGGTAAAATAACAGCTTATTTTAATACAAGTTTCTATATTCTATAGTAAAAAATCAATTTCAACAAGTATTTTAAAGTGTTCAATCATCTGCTCGATAATTTTATTTCCGTTTTGTTCCATACAAATACGTGCAACAGCAAATTCTCGTGCACAATATAGTGACTCGATGTGTTCCCCTAAAAGGACTCCCAAACATTGAAACGCTTGTTACCTTGAATAACTCTAATATTTAAAACAATGTTTAAATCACTATTGTAATTTCAGAAGATTTATATTCTCACATAATTTCACCGAAAAAGTATTTAAAAAGTACGTTTAGAGTTCATTTATGTCTGTAATAAAAAATTAACGAATTCTAGAATAAAGGGAAAGTAAATCAATGAAATAAATGGAATTTAATATTTTAATATCTAGGCAGTGTGCGAGCTCGAGTTTATTGAGGTAAAGTAAATTTAAATTTCCTAGGGATTTTTTGCACTGCACTTATGTAAATATTTATGTATTTATTTATTGTACTTATTTATTATTTTTGGTTAAAAATTTACAAATTTATTTATATATTTATAAAACATCTTATAAAATTTTCACAATGGGAACACCTAATTCAACTAATTTTTATCTAATTTACCTTACTCGAAATTCTGGTAAATACCAACATTCGCTGCCATACCGACACAATTTACTATTTCCCTCAATTTACCATCAATTTACTCGAACTCGCACACGGCCCTAATAGATAATTGTTATTCAATATAAACTATTTAGATTTTTTTTAGGATATGTAATACTTTGAAATTGAAATTGAACATTAGGCGACTTATTATTAATTATTTTAATATATGATTTTAAATATTTTCATCCATATGATTATATATTTTTGCAGAATTAATTAAATAAAAATGCCAAAGCAGCACATTTTATTTTTGCTTGTATTTGTTGTACATAAAACGCACAAATGTCAAGCAAGGTGAAAATATACAATTAAATTTTTAGTAAAACATGTTTTTATTTAATTACATTTATTATCGTTATATGAGGCCTAAGTAATGTTTCAAATTTTAAATTAAATTCAAATATATAATATCAGCTGATGTTTCTCCGGAAACCCCGAAAAATTTATTAAACTTTGAACATGCATTTTTTTTTGTGATTACATAGTTTAGTTTCGACTGTTACGAAATTTTATTTATTTTTTGGCCACCCTGTTCTATTAAAATACTTAGCATGTTTACAGAATTTCTGAATTATTTAACGAAGCCAAATAACAACTCTGCATATCTATGTTTTGTCTCATTGTTTCTATGTTTTTGTTTCTACATTTTAGCTTCTATGTTTTAGATGAAAAAGCTCTATTCAATGTTTGTATTGCCGTATAGGGAACAATTTTTTTAAATAAAATTCTTATTTAGATATTTTTTTATTGCTAAAAAACAGATGTACGTATGCCGTTAATAAAGTCCAATTTTTTTGAATGGAATTTGACTTTTTTACTATTTTCAATTTATTTCTGCATTTAGTTTGTGGTTTCAGTACATTTTCATATGCGATGTATTCTTGATTTTGATTTTGATAAAAATATACAGATGGCCTCATTACGTGCTTTGAACAGCCCTGGTATGTAATATAGTTATAGTATAGTATAATATAATAATAATTGACATATTTTTAAAAGTCCCTACTGATACTTTTTAAATTAATATACAACAGAGTTGTTGAACATATATGTACATATATTTGCGATGTTGCACGTATTAAACATCGAAAGTTGTGTACTGTTATTGTATTGGATATCGCTAAAAGTATTATAATTCTCAAAGGGTTTAATTGTATAATACTTTTAATGTCTTGATAATAGCATTTTAATTTTTTTTTTTAAAACATTCATATGCAATGAGTAGTATAATGTTAACTATTAGTTAATTTATTACTATGGCTGATTTGTATTTAATAGATATTAAGTAAAACGTGTGCCGGTTTACTGAATAAGTGTTCAGCTTCCATAGTTTTTAATATTGTGGACATATTAATACAAATGAGTATTCTATTGGGAGCTACTTTTGTAATATCATTGTAAGTAAATTCGGCTTCTTGTTCTTTGCCATGTTCTTGCTGGTGTGCCGGGTCGCCGACTATATTTTGGGTTCCATCGCAGTGCTTGCCTTGATCCATAAAAGTTCCTTAAAAGGTTTCATCTCATTCCTTTAAAAAATCGGATTTAAATAGAAATAAAAAGACAAGTGATTGCACAGACTGACAAATATACAGAAAGAGAGAGAGAAAGAGAAAGAGAAAGAGAGAGGGAGAGAGAAAGAGAAAGAGAGAGGAAGAGAGAGAGAGAGGGAGAGAGAGAAAGCGAGAGAGAGAGAGAAATAGGTCTAAATAAATTAATCTCAACGTACTGAACAAAAATATATGGTCTCTAAAATATTCTCTATTGTGTTACATAGATCTCTACAGAAAGAGAGAGAGAGAGAGAGAGAAAGAGAAAGAGAGAGAGAGAGAAAGAGAGATAGAGAGAGAGAGAGAGAAATAGGTCTAAATAAATTAATCTCAACGTACTGAACAAAAATATATGATCTCTAAAATATTCTCTATTGTGTTACATAGATCTCTACAGAAAGAGAGAGAGAGAGAGAGAGAAAGAGAGAAAGAGAAAGAGAGAGAGAGAGAGAAAGAGAGATAGAGAGAGAGAGAAATAGGTCTAAATAAATTAATCTCAACGTACTGAACAAAAATATATGATCTCTAAAATATTCTCTATTGTGTTACATAGATCTCTACAGAAAGAGAGAGAGAGAGAGAGAGAGAGAAAGAGAAAGAGAGAGAGAGAGAAAGAGAGATAGAGAGAGAGAGAGAAATAGGTCTAAATAAATTAATCTCAACGTACTGAACAAAAATATATGATCTCTAAAATATTCTCTATTGTGTTACATACATATCTAAAAAGTAATTATGTTAACTATAAATAATGCTGCGATGGATATACACTTCCGATTTCCCGTGCATGCCTGACAACAGATTTTGGAAAGATAGATATTTCGAATGACTTTTTCAACTACGCTATACGCTAATATGGCTTAGTTTTCGATATATTGGATATAAAAATTTGAAGTCCAACACCAATAACATGGTATGTCTATTCGTTTTTATCCGTTGTTTTTGCATTCGATGTAAAAATTGCATCTAAATGACGCTAGATGGCGCATATAGTTCTTTTTGTTAATTTATTCTATGTTAAAACTTAACAATCTGAAGGCATTGTTCACATTAGGCGCTTTCAACGCTCTGGCCCAGGAACGCCTGTATTCGTATCTGTTCATATGAGAAACTTAACGCAACGTTGGAAAATATGTCTATGGTGAACTGTTAACAGTTAATGTTAAAATTGGCAACAAAGAAAATGAAAATATTAGTCCCTCTTAATACTGAGAGATAATTTAACTTATGGGAAGTTTTGAACGTTATAACATTATTTTTGTTTCTTCCCTTGTTTGTTACATTGCTTTTTTGGCACTTGGTGATTCATTTCATTGACAAGGAAAAGTAAGGAAAAGAAAATGCTGTTACTTCTGGAGGTTCAAGCTGGGCGTTCAAAAAGAAAATGCTTAGTTGTGCCTTCTTTCTATGAGTTTGCACAACGTCTACAATGAGTATTTAAAGGAATGTGTTGATTATGCCATCGGTATCGCACAATTCAGGCATATTCAACTAAAAAACGCACTTCGAAGACATAACCAGTTTACCTGCCAATTACCAATAACCAGTTAAGCTGTTCTGCTATAAGC